ACATACATGCAGACCCCAACACTGAAACCAGGAGAACCCCTGCACTTGAGTACGGGCCCATGGACCCCAACCCTGGCACCCGCACACATCTCAGAGAGCCAGGTACCCTGTGACCCAGCCCCCAACATAGACATCCCCATGCTCCAGAGGAGAAGAAGGGCAGGCATTTTGCCTCTGGTAGGTCAGAATGGTCAAGGGCTGAACACTGAGAATGGGTCTGCATGGAGGCAACACTGTGACCTCTGTAGTTTGGCCGCTACTAGCAGGTACCTGGGCTGTGTGCATCTGGGGTACTGAAAGGATTTTTTGGCCCAGAGCTACAGGATATTTGGGGTGGTAAGGGGTGGTGGGGAGTGGGGGGGAAAGCGCACTGAGCATCCAAACTGGAGCAAGCAGGCAGATGCCCTGAGAAACATGTGGGGTGTGGCCAGCTGCCTTGGTGTTGCAGGTACAGGACACTGGAAATTTCCAGGTCAGGGTGTGGGGTGTTGTCAGTCATGGGGCATCTGATAGAAGCCCCTGGAAAGTTCAAGGTCATGGGGGTGGCCTGGCTACTGGAGCCCCAGTCACTATGGAGCAGGCGCCACTTGCAGCTGGAGTGAGAGGGAAAGCTACATGCTGGGACCTTCACCTAGAAACACTCAGAATTCCTTCCATCCATCCACCCACCCCCTCACAGCAGGACCCTCATCCACCCATGAATGCTGAGACCCCACAGGCACCGCTGCAGACCATGGAAGACTCCAGATGTGGAGGGGGAACATGCTTAGCTTGGGGGATGCCTATACCTGGGCTGCTGAGGTGCAGGAATGGGGGCTCAAGATGGCCACCCACTATTTTAGTAGGCAACCTATGGAGCTGGCAGAATTCCAGTTCCAGAGGGAATTTATGGACAGGGTCCTAGACCACTTTGTGGCCATTTAGGATGTCCTTGATTGGTGCCAATGCTACTTCTCACAGAGAGCCTGTAGCCTTCCAGGCTGGAGGTGGTAGAAGAAGCTGCTGCCCTGCCCCTGATGCCATGTGCCCTGCTCCAGGGAGTCTTCCCAGGGGTGACAGGAACACAAGTCCTGTGTGAGGGACCCCTGGTTGCTGGGCAGAGGTAAACAGCCCCCCACCATGCTCTGACTGGGAGATGGAGGAATGGGAGGTGGACTGGGACAGAAGAAGTGGTGTGAATGTGACGGTGACCTGTGCTATGGAGAAGCAGAAAGGCTCCTGGCAGGGCCTACTCTGGAGGTTGGCACTGGGAAAAGGGAGTGGTGCCTAGGGCCCAAGAGCAGGTCTGTCCTAGATACTGTTTTCTTCCCTGAGCCAATCTGCATCCGCCCCAGCCCTCATGGTCACCCTGTGTACACAGGCCCCCCAAGCAGTTCCAGGGGAGTCCCAACACAGGGCAGGAA